CGGCTCGGATTGCGGAATCGGAGAGCCGAGTTCGAATTCCAGTCGAATTCATTACATTCACTTATCATCTCTATCTATAAAAGGCAGGGTGTGTGTGTGTGTAACGAATGCACGGCCGCAATTTTCGACGGATTTGCACCAAAATTTACATGCTCCAAGCGAGAAGGCCAAGAAAGACTTTGCATTTCCCAACTACCATCGATAGTGGAAATAATCGATTTTTTCATGTTTCTACGACAGTTTTCACGGCCATTTTCTACTGGCCAGAGTGAGAGCCTATAGCTGGCTGCCACGAATAGGCAGGAAGATTCTATTGGCCTGCGTGAGAGCCAACAGCTGACTGACACGAATTTTAACTAGCATGCTAGCAAAAAAAAAAAAAAATCGATCACAAGTGGGAAAAATTTAAATCTGCATGGCACTTTACTCCAATTGGCTCATTCGCTTGCTTAAACTCAACGTTGATTCTGATTCCGCAGAACTGGGTTGAGTGTGAAAAAGTATTTGTTGTTAACATTCTTTTTTCATTCGGTTTTTCCAGTTACGAGTCCATTTTTAAAGCTGATCGTTTTATGTTCATTTTGTTTAGTTCTTTTTTCGTAATAGATTTAATGTTTAGTATAGAGCTTCGAAAAAATTCGCAGTGTGAGATAGGCAAGAAGTAAGGCATGTAGCAACATCAGCACGGTAAGGGCACTCCTTTAAAGGCAAGGAAGGGCAAAAATATTTTAAGTCAAGTGATAGCGATTGCTGCATGAGTGGTACGATTTTTGAAACAAGCACGGGCAACGCCGGGTCATGCTGCTAGTGGGGAAATAAATCTAGCAGAACAGGCCGGGTTCTATAGTCTTGGATGGCAACTGGTCTACCGCAGAAAGAAATGGCGACCTGCTGCGGGAAAGAAATCGGCCTCGTCCGTCAGTCAGTCGAAAGGTACATGATCGCCTAAGATGACGCATGACACATAACTGGTTTTATGTAAATATATTTTGCTTTTAATTTTAGGTAATAAACATTTTTTCTTTTCTTTTTATTATTGCTTTCTAAGCTGTCCTGGTTACCCAGGAGAGTCATCTTCGTGACTCTCATCCTGCTCGTAAAAATTGGTTTAAGGAAACAGTGAAGTAAAATATAATTCGAGATCCTCTATTGCAAGTGTTCCTGGAAATGGGGTTTATTTTTATCGATTCTGTGACACTTCTTTTGTTTGTAAGAATTTCGAACTGAGTACCGAAAGATTCTCAGTTCAAAATATTTCTTAAAATCTGATGAAATCTCCAAACATCATTTGTTTTATTTTATTTATTTTGTATATTCTTGGTGGGACCCGATAAGCTTTTATCAGCACCCCCTGGAATACAGACAGCTTTTTAATAAATTTTTATGTCATTTTTGGAAAATTTGACGCAGAAATTTTGAAACGGGTTTCTTTCAAAGTTTCGGCAAAATATTTTGGGGTTTTTTTTTGTACTTTTATTTTTCCAGTTTTCTGTCACTCATTGTTTATCTCTTAATAAATGATTTTTTTTATTCCTTGCATTCTTTCTTTCTTTTTTCTCTCTTTCTTTCTTTCTTTATTTCTTTCTTTCCTTCTTTTTTCTTCCCTTCTTTCTTTCTTTCTTTTTTTTTTTTTTTTTTCTTTCTTTCTTTCTTTCTTTCTTTCTTTTTTTCTTTTTTTCTTTTTTTTCCTTCTTTCTTTCTTTCTTTCTTTCTTTTTCTTTCTTTCTTTTCTTTCTTTTTTCTTTTTTTCTTTCTTTCTTTTTTTCTTTCTTTCTTTCTTTCTTTTTCTTTCTTTTTTCTTTTCTTTCTTTCCTTTCTTTTTTCGAGGAAAAGGTTTTTTCTTTTTTTTTTTTTCTTTCTTTTTTTTTCTTTTCTTTTTTTCTTTTTTTCTTTTCTTTTTTCTTTCTTTCTTTTTGTTTTTTTCTTTTTTTATTTCTTTCTTTTCTTTCTTTTTTTTTTTTCTTTCTTTCCTTCTTGCTTTCTTTCTTTCTATTTTCTTTTTTCTTTTTCTTTCTTTTTTCTTTCTTTTTCTTTTTTCTTCTTTTTTTTGTTTCTTTCTTTGTTTCTTTTTTTTCTTTCTTTTTTTTTCTTTCTTTTCTTTCTTTCTTTTTTTCTTTTTTCTTTTCTTTGTTTTCTTTTTCTTTCTTTCTTTCTTTTTTTTTCTTTTTTCTTTTTTCTTTCTTTCCTTCTTTTCTTTCCTTCTTTTTCTTTCTTCCTTTTTTTTCTTTCTTTTGTTTTCTTTCTTTTCCTTTTTCTTTCTTTCTTTCTTTCTTTCTTTCAAATTTTTTCTTTCTTTCTTATTTTTTCTTCCTTTCTTTCTTTCTTTTTCTTTCTTTTTCCTTTTTTCTTTCTTTTCCTTCTTTCTTTCTTTTCTTTCTTTCTTTTTTTTTTCTTTTTTTTTTTCTTCTTTTTTTTCTTTTTTTTTTTTTTTTTTTTTTTTCTTTCTTTCTTTTCTTTCTTTTTTTCTTTTTTCTTTTTCTTTTTTCAGATTTTCTTTCCTTCTTTCTTTCTTCCTTCTTTCTTTCATTTCTTTTTAAATTTTTTTTCTTTCTTCCATTTTTTTTTTCTTATTTCTTTCTTTTCTTTCATTCTTTTTCTTTTTTCTTTCTTTCTTTTTTCTTTTTTTTTTCTTTTCTTTCTTTCTTTCTTCCTTTTTTCTTCTTTTTTTTTCTTTCCTTCTTTCTTTTTTTTTTAACATTTCCTTTTCTTTCTTTTTCTTCCTTTCCTTCTCTCTTTCTTTCTTTCTTTATGTTTGTTTTATTTTTCTTTCTTTCTTTCACAGACAAAGAAAGAACTTTTCTTTCCTTCTTTCTTTTTTTTCCTTCCTCTTTTTTCTTTCTTTCTTTTTTTTTTTCTTTTTTTCTTTCTTTTTTTTTTGTCTTTATTTCATCTTTGACATATTCTTCCTTTTTTTCTTTTTTTTTTTTTCTTTCTTTCATTTCGTTTCTTTCTTTCTTTTTTCTTTTCTTGTTTTTTATGCTTTCTTTCCTTTTTTCTTTTTCCTATTTATCCATTTCGTTTTTTCTTTTTTTTTTATTCTTCATTTTTCTTTCTTTTCTTTCTTTTTCTTTCTTTCTTTCTTTCTTTCTTTCTTCCTTTCTTTTCTTTTGTTTCTTTTTTCAGCGTTCTTCAAATCCATCACATTTTTTCGATTTTTTCTTTTCTTTCTTTTTTCTTTCTTTCTTTCTTTCTTTCTTTCGTTTTCTTCCTCACATGTCTGTTTTATTTCTTTTAATTTATTTTTTCTTTCTTTCTTTTTATTGCTCGTTTTTCATCTTTCTTTTTTCTTTCTTTTTTACTTTTCATTTCCCTTTTTGTTTATGTCTTAGAAAATGTCTAATAAAATCTTTTTTCTTTCTTTTCTTGATTTTTTTTTCTTTCTTTCTTTTCTTTTCTTTTCTTTCTTTCTTTCTTTCTTTCTTGTCTCTTTTCTTTCTTTCTGCTGTATGTCTCTGTTCTTTCTTTCTTTCTTTCTTTCTTTCTTTCTGTCTGTCTTCTAAAGAATTTTGCGCAGTTTTAATATTGTGCTTATTAAATTCTCATTATCGTAAATGACATTATTTCTCCTCCCCCCACTTTCTTCCACATCTTTCTCTCCCCCCCCCCTTTTTCCTTCTGTTTCTGAATTCCTGCACCCTCTTCCTTCCCACCCACTCATTTCAACCTGATGCACGCTTTACCTTCCCCAGGATCGCTTTTGAGATTATCACTTATAAAATTCCATCTAAAATATTTGACCTGTAGACATCAATAAACGGTCTAAAGCAACGAACTTGACACGTTGACTTCGCCAACGCAATGTCCTTTATCTGAAAGTAATTTGGTTAACTGGAACAATTTCCTTCCTGGAATCACAAGACTGCGACAGTAGAATTAATTGTCATAAGTTTGAAAATTCTACATCTCCATTGTCGTCTCATCATCGGCATTATCGGAAAAAAGCAGAAGTTTTATTAAGCAAATAAGTAAAAAATTATATTTACATGAAATCATGTTATACAACACTGCGGCAGGGAAATTTTTGGTGCTCTCTTTTGATGAGAATACATTTGAAATGATTTTTACTATAGAAGGAAATTGGAAATGATTTTTACTATTAAGAATGAATTGGAAATGATTTTTACTATTAGGAATGCATTGGAAATGATTTTTACTATTAAGAATGCATTGGAAATGATTTTTACTATTAGGAATGCATTGGAAATGATTTTACTATTAGGAATGCATTGGAAATGATTTTTACTATTAGGAATGCATTGGAATTTTTTTTTTACTATTAGGAATGCATTGAAATGATTTTATTATTAGAAATGCATTGGAAATGATTTTATTATTAGAAATGCATTGGAAATGTTTTTTATTATTAGGAATGCAATGGAAATGATTTTATTATTAGGAATGCATTGGAAATGATTTTATTATTAGAAATGCATTGGAAATGATTTTATTATTAGAAATGCATTGGAAATGATTTTATTATTAGGAATGCAATGGAAATGATTTTATTATTAGGAATGCATAGGAAATGATTTTATTATTAGGAATGAATTGGAAATGATTTTACTATTAGGAATGCATTGGAAATGATTTTACTATTTAGAGATGCATTGGAAATGATTTTACTATTAGGAATGCATTGGGAATGATTTTACTATATGGAATGTATTGGAAATATATCAAGACAGGTTTTAAGCTCCACATAGCTGTTGAAAGAAACATCACTTATACTGTTAGAAAGCGACCGATAAAAGTTGTATTTTACTGGGGTTAAATCAGCAGAATATTGTGGGTGTGGCAGAACTTCCCAACCGAACTCTTTAATTGCATGTTTGGTCAAGTTAGTGACGTGGGTGGGGGGAGCATCATCATGTTGAATAAACCCACTGTATCGTCGGTCAGGTCATTTTACCTGAATTTCCTCTTTGAAACTCTGTTCATTTGTTCACCATAGCGTTGGCCTTTTGGTTGTTTTGAATCGTTTCATAGCAAATTAGGGCTTGTCAATCCTGCCAAACGCAGAACATTCGATGGCGTGGATGCAGCTTTGGTTCGGAGTGCTGCCTGCTTTGCCGGGACTCATCCATTGTTTTCTCTGATTTCCATTCACGGAAAGACACACTTTTATTTTTGTCACCTCTTATAATATGGTAAATGAATCTTTATTTTTTATCCACGAATAATACTGTTTTCGTGTCTGGTCTGGTGCTCCTGCTAGACATCTCGAGATTCTTGACAAAATTGCAAAGAAGGATCTATAATGTAGTCGATCCTGACTTGGCATCTTGACTTTCTCATCGACGCGACATGGCTTCCGTCTTTCTTTTCTATAAATATAGATAGATAGATAGATAGATAGATAGATAGATAGATAGATAGATAATGAACACATTGGGATAGACTGATAGATAGATAATGAACAAATTGAGATAGATAGATAGATAGATAGATAATGAACACATTGAGATAGATAGATAGATAGATAGATAGATAGATAGATAATGAACACATTGAGATAGATAGATAGATAATGAACACATTGAGATAGATAGATAGATAGATAGATAGATTGATTGATTGATAGATAGAACAATAATGAAATAGATTGAGATAGATAGATAGATAATGAATAGATTGAGATAGATGAGATAGATAGATAGATAGATAGATAGATAGATAGATAGATAATGAACACATTAGATAGATAGATAGATGAATAGATAGATGAATAGATAGATAGATAGAAATGACAACATAGATAGATAATGAAACACTAACATATATATATATATATATATATATATATATATATATATATATAATAGATAGATAGAGAGAGAGATAAATGAGAGAATAGATAGATAGATAGATATAGAGATAATGAACAGACCGGGTGTTGATAATGGAATGATACTCTCCTATTACCTAGAATGGATGGATAGATAGATAACATAAAGGTGTATAAATAATTACAGATAGATGTCCGATCTTCTCTCTCTGACTGACTGGGATAAAGGATGAAGAAGTGAATCCCTGATTTTTTTTTTTTGGATTTTTTTTTAGAATAAACCTCTCTTTCTTCCATCTACGCCTGTGTTACTGTTCCTTTCACTCGAGTACCACCTTTGTCTCTTTGTAAACTTTTAAAGGATACAACACAATATCTTTTCAATATTTTTTAAAACATGGCATATTTCTTGACAGTACGTTTATTTCCTTTTTAATCATTTCACCCTCAGCAAGGCGATAAAGCCACTAAGACAGAAGGGGATTACTGAAAGTGAAAGAAATTGAGAACTGAATTGGAATAACTTTTTCTTTTCTTTTTTTTCGCAATGATATTCACTCTGTAAAAGGGCCATGAGCCACTCGAGGTAGAGGGTTACATAGTAAGGAGCACAGTTTATGTGGATATATGGGGAAGATAGCGGTTGACTCTAGGCTTGAATTGGCACCTGGTATTCCCAAGCGGTCACCCATCTGGGTACTAACCAGGTTCGATGTAAATATTAATTTATTTAATCGTACGAGTATCGGTGTTTTCAGCTGATTAAATGTATCCGGAAATTTAAATGTATGTAAAATACATTTTATATGGTATATATATATGGATGTATTTAATGTTAATATATCGTGTAGCATCGGCAGTCTGATTTTTCTGAAGCTTTTCGCTTCCGTACACATAGCAAAATGTAAAGAAGCAGATTTGGCAATCTTAATGATTTTGATTAAAAAGCAAAGGAGAAGATGTTAAAATATGTCCGTTTTTGTTTATTTGGCATTCCGTATAAAAGCGGGTGTCTAATCTGAAATAACATTTCAATAACGTTAATCAACAGTTTCACTGGATGACCAGAGTTAACTAAAAAGCAAAAATAATCACGCATCATTTGAGAAAATAATTGACAAAAATATCAAAAAAAAAAAAACAAAAAATATATAGATTACAGTTAAAAAGTTTGAATAATGTCTGATAATTTAAAAAAATTATTTAAAAAATAGTTTTTTATTTTTTTAGAGAAAATTAATATTTTAAAAAAAAAAAAAGTGAGACATGACTTTTTTTTTATTTTTTTATTATTTATTATAAAAAAAAAAAAAAAAAGCATTTTATGATCAAATTTGCATTTATATTCAAAATATATTTTTTATTTTTTTTGATTTGTTTGCAGCTTAATATTTTTGGGCATTTTTGCAAAAAGGTACTCAAATTATAAGTTAGATAATTGATCTCATAAATTTTTTCAATGACTTAAGGGCTCTTTTTTCAGTTTTTTTTTTCACTCTTCTGTCAAGTTCATCCCACAATATATAATTCTGGGGTGGCTTATTTTAATTTTGGACTCTAAAAATATAAACGACCTAATTCATTGATGCTCATCTTTTGCAAGAAAAAAAGAGCCACACGCAGTAGAGGGTTAAAGATTTTAAGGTACAGTTTACGAGGATTTATGAGGAAGATAATGGTTAACCCTAGACTTAAATAAGTTAAGATTGAAGTGATTATGGGAGTCGGTTCCACAGGGCAGTGGTTCGTGAGACGAAAGATTAATTCTTTGAGATCATTCACAGAAGATCAGAATCACCCTAGCCAAGAAAAAAAAAACGAACGAATATATGTAACAACATAATATATATATTGTTATGGGGTCCACCCTTTTCGGATATAATTGACTTGTCCTGCTGCCATAAAATAGCCACAGTCAGGCAGAGAAAAGGAGTCGTAGCGGAGTCGTAGCGGAGTCGTACATGAGTCGTCTGTGAGTGTCGACTCTAAGGAAGTCCTACTTCGAGACTGTATATATCTATCTGAATTTGCTACTAACCGTGTTTCTGGATTTTACTAACAGCATTACCTTTTTGTATTTTGTGTAAATACATTTAATTTCTTAGCTTAAATACTTGCGTTTGTTATTTATTGGATACCTATTTTTCGTTTTATAAGGATCCACAACATATATATATATATATATATATATATATATATATATATATATATAAATAAAAATTTTAATATTGGTCATAATTTATTCCATTGGAATCAAAATAAATTAAACCATGGAATATTAGTGTTTAAGCCTTTTTATTTATCCTTAATCTGTCCTAGACATTTGAGTTCTACCTGGATATCTTCCTCTTAAATTTTTTTTTTTTCTGAAAATATATATATATTTAAATATTTTTTATATATTTTGCATATTGGTTATATTTTCCACTAATCTCTCTTTATTTCTATATATATATATATATATATATATATATATATATATATATAATTTTAAAAAAAAAAAAAAACCATTTTTTTAAATGATTGAAGATAGAAACATTTTTGGTTTGGTTTGTTTTAAATTTATCAACCTCAATGGGTCATTTAATGCCAACAACTTTTTTTTTTAATTAGTAATTTTTTTTTGTCAAATATCTATTTCTGATAATATATTTTCCTTAAAATTATATAGCTGGTAATATTTATTTTCAAAAAATAAATATTATTTTGGTAATATTTTTTTTTTCTCTCTTCAAAAATTTATATCTGGTAATAATTTAAAAAGTATTTCTAGTATTAAAATCTATTTTTACATTTTTTTAGTTTTGGGGTTAACTATTTTTTTTTAACTGGGACCCTAACAGGTGCTTATCCATGGTTATAGTGGACCTGGAAGCACCAGCAATAAAGTAAATGGTTCCATTTGAATTCAAAACCTCTTGATCAAATATAGGCCTTGCTGTTGGACATAGTTTATCATCTTACCCAGGACATGGATGTGGTTTATCGTCTTTAACCCAGGACGCGGATGTAGTTTATCGTCTTAATTTGGACATTTGATGGTTTATCCACTTACCCAGGACACGGATCTGTTTATCGTCATAATGCAGGACACGGACGTAGTTTATTTAGAACCCAGGACACGGACGTAGTTTATCGTTATACAAAGGGCACGGACGTAGTTTATCGTTTACCCAGGACACGGATTTTTTTTATCGTCTTACCCAGGACACGGATTTTAGTTTATCGTCTTATCAGGACACGGAAATTGAATTTTTATCGTCTTCTTTTAAACGGATTGTTTATCGTCATAACCAGGACACGGATAAAGTTTATCGTCTTTATTCTTCAGGACACGGATGTAGTTTTTCGTCTTTTTTCAGGACACAGATGTATTTTATATCCTTTTCCAGGACACGGACGTAGTTTATCGTCTTACTCAGGACACGGATGTGTTTAAGATTTTAGATTTCGGGACACGGATTTAGTTTATTTATTGGATATTTCTATGTTGCAAGGTTGAATAATTTATCAATCTTACAAGGACATGGAAGTTTCTTTATCATCTTACCCAGGATTTTTATGTATTTTATCATTCTTACCCAGGACACGAATTAATTTTTTATCATATTATGTTTTCACTTTTCTTTATTTTAAGATCAAGAGAGAAAAAAAGAGAAAAAGGGAAACAAAAAAAACTCATCATAATTTGGGGCTGGATGTCAAGGCTGTTGACTAGGGTTGGGCGAGTTTAGTCTCCAGCCCTGGAAACGAAAACAATATCAATTTGAAGTGTGTTCCTTTGAGCATGCCAATTACCGACTAGCTTCTCGGCCAATGAACAGAAGATTTATGTCAGAGACAAGAAGCAATATTTTCAATTTGCTAAGTCAGCAAAATTAAAATAGAAATTGAAATAAAAGAAAAGAAAAATAAACACCAAAACGCTGGGCGTAAATTTAAAACATAAAAAAAAAAAAAAAAAAAAGATTTCTTCTTTTTTTCAGATCTTTAAAAAAAAAATAATTCACCGTTACAAGAATTTATTATTGGTAGTTAATAAATGCGTTGTATATTTATATATATATATAAAAAACAACAGAAAATAAAAGGAAGCCATTAAAAATTGAGGATGATGTGCAAGTTAAATTCTAATTTATTTATTTTTTTCTCTTGCCATGATTTCATGTTGACAAATTTGATTTTTATTAAATGGCAATAAAGAAAACTTATTAAGAATTCTATTGAGAAGGCAGGTTTTCGAAATTTAAATTATCATGTTCGTTTGAAAAATTATCCAGCCGGGTTCGAATTCCAGTCGAGTTCGTTGCATTTTTTACTTCATTAAATTTGGGAAGGATTATAAATTTCCTTTTGGACCCCACCTATGGGTAAAATAAATTTAAGGATAAATATTTTTACAGACTTGGTTGAGATTGATAAGCAGTATAGGAGAAAGAAATCCCTGAATTCAAAACGACTTGATGCCTTGTAGGTCCTGCCTCTTCATTGTTTATTTAGCGGCACATCAACACCTAATGTCCCATTTAATGCCGAAATTAAATGTTCTTGAGAGCAATTATAATTTCTTTCAAAAAATGTATCGCTGGTAATTTTTTTTCAAAAAAGAATTGCTTGTAAAAGATATTTTTGTTTTTACAATAACTGTTTCGCTGGTAATATTTATTTTTGGGGCCAAAAAATTATTTTTATTTATTATATATATTATTATAATTATTATTATTATTATTATTATTATTATTATTATTTTCTTTGATTTCTGGCGTTTACACATTTCTTTCCGGTCCCCCCAGGGACCTAAGGTTAGAAATGGCATCATGACACTTTCCACTGACAAAAAAAAAAAAAAAAAATTACATAGATAAAGCCCTTCGTAAAGTGTGGGCTGTACTTGTCAGAACAATTTTTTGTATCTCCTTGAGGCATGGACTTCCAGGAATCCCTTCAATTAGTCTACCTGCAATCTTTTCCAACCAGTCCTAGGGCTCCAACTACAACAGCGATTGTTGATGTTTCCATATGCCACATTTTCGAGATTTCTATTTCAAGGTCCTTGTACTTTGACAACTTTTTGAATATCTTCAAAGATACATTGCAGTCAGCAGGGACTGCCATTATCAATAAGGAGGCACCGTTTTTGTTTGTGGTCTTTAATAACAATATCTGGCCGATTGGCCTTGATTTCATGTCTACAATATATTAATAAACATATAATTTTATTATTATTATTATTATTATTATTATGGGGAAATATATTATTATTGAAATTATTATTTTTTTTATTTTCTTTGATTTTGGCGTTTACATTAAAATTTCCGGGTCTTTTTTTAGGACCTAAGGTTAGAAATATTTTCAAATTATCTTTCCAATGAAAAAAAAAAAAAAAAAAAATTACATATTATTATTATTATTATTATTTATCATCATCATCATTCGATTTCTGCTATTATTTTACCTACCAAGTCTGCGGAAAGACCTAAGGCAGGTCATGGTGTGTTGTTATATATACATTTCATGTTATTTTTTTTTTTTTTTTTTTATCTCCGATGAAGTTGCTAGCGTTACATAGAAAAGTTCTCCTTAGTGTTTAATAAGACAATTTTCTGTATGTCTCTTAAGCTTGAAAAGGGATTCTTTCAATGTGTTGTTTTGTTCCATTTTTATAATTCCAATGCACCTATTACCACTGGTATTATTCTTTTTTCAATTTCCACATTTTTCTATTTCAATTTCCAGGTCTTTGTATTTTGATAGTTTTTCAAATTCCTTGGTTGCTATGTTACAATCCGCTGGACAAGCCATATCAATTAGTAGGCAAGTTTTTTCTTTCTGGTTTTTTTGACAATAATGTCCGGCCTATTTGCTTCAATTTTTCTGTCTGTGTGGATGGTATAATCCCATAGAATGGTGACATCTTCTATTTCTGTAACCTTTTTGGCCGATGTTCATACCAGTGTTTGCTTACACATTTTCCAAAGTGTTTGCACATTGTCCAGTGTAAGTATTGCCCCACTCTATCGTGACGATTTTTATATTCATTTGGGGCAAGTATAGAACATCCTGAGATTAGATGGTCTATTGTTTCTTGGTATTTGTCACAGAACCTGCATTTTGGATCCACATTATTATATATGATATTTGCCTGAAAATTCCTAGTGAAAAAGACTCTGGTCTTGCGCTGCAAGAATAAAGCCTTCAAGGTTTTAATCCAGATGCTCGTAACCATCGATGATTAATTAACTTTATCAACATTGGGTTTATTTGCACGTTCTGGATATTGGCCATGCAGAGGTTTGTCTTGCCAGCGTTGTTTCATCTGTTCAAGGGCTTTATCCTTGGCTTTCTTTTTCATATCTTTTTGCTGCAATAGTTGGTTCTTGGCTTCTGTTTTGATTTACTACAGAATCTACTAAATGTAAATGTTGTTTTAAATTTACTGCCTATTTTTTTATTATTGAATAATTTTTTTCTTTCTGTTTTCATGTTGTTTCACTAATTTTATCATCCAGTCATTTGTTGTTTCCATGTAAGTTAAGTTAATAAAATAGTTGTTGTCTTTATGACAATTCTAGCTGAATAAGACCTCTTCCACCTTCTTTACGGGGTATGTATAGACGGTCTACATCAACCTTTGGATGATGCATCTTATATTTAGAAAGAAGCTTTCTTGTTTTAGAATCCATTTGTCTGATGTCATTTAGAGTCAGTTCAAGATGTTGAAACTATATTGGACCACTGGGATGGCAAGGTATATAATGGCCATAATTCTGTTCTGAGAATTCAATTCAGTTTTTAATACCAATACCTTTCTATAGTACTCTTTACGATATTTCTTTCATTTTCTTATGGTGAATTCCTTTCATTATAACACCAGGTACTTATTTCTCCTTGTTTAAATCTTTTATTGTTACAGCAGGGTCTAAACTAATATAAAAGTTTTTATTGATCCTGTAAAATAAGCTTAATTTAATCCAAATTGAATTTCATTCCAATGTCTTCACTTTTATTTTCAGTTCCAAGAAGACCTTCCAGCTCATTGTCATTCCTAGCATACAATTTAAGTCATCCATCAGATGGTTTATGAAATTTATTTTTAACCGCATTCTGTCTTGTTAAGTTGGCTGGTTAATGGAATGATATGCAAAATATTTAAAAGATAAAGAGTCACCTTGAAATATCCTCTATTGATGTTTATTTCGCCAGACTTATAGGTTCCATTTTTATGATTTAAAGTGTAGTTTTCATATCGACATACATTGTTTGATGAAATTGATGATAATATAAATATACATACTTTATATATTTAAGATCCAGGAATGTGGTACATATCGAATGCTTTACGATAATCTATCCAGGCAATACTAAATTTTTTTTTTCCACAAATAGTTTTCCAGGATCATATATATAATAAGTAATTGGTATTTACATCCGTTCAGCCTCGTTTGCAATTTTTTGTTCAATTTAGTTTGTCATTTTCTTTCAAAGAAGAAATATTCTGTTTTTTGTTAAAATAGATGTTAACAGTTTGTATATTGTTTAATATATAATTATATTTTTTCGGAAATTTGTTCACTATTTTATATAATGTTCCTTTGGTCATCCATGCAGGAATTTTTATTGGATATAACCATTTTTGTAATAGTTGATTCAATGTTTTTTTTTTGTGTGCTGTATTTAAAAATATAGCCAGAAGTTAGAATTTTATATATTAGAGTCTCATTTTGTACATTTAATATCTTTTTGGATTATAAAAGTTTATTTTTTCAATGACGTTTAAGAGATTTCATCGTTGTAATAAAGTATATATTTTTTTTTTCTTTATAAATTCCATTTTGGGGATTTAAAAAAAATCTTTGTTTATTTTTGAAATTTTTTGCATCATCTTGTTCTGTTATAGAATATATATATATTTTATTATCAAAAGCCTTCAAATGTATTGTTTGCTTTATTTTTTCTTTAGTTGATAAAAGATAAATTTTCTTTATTCTGCATCTTTTTTAGTTCGGACTCTTCTTTTCATCTTTACTGATTTTTACTTATTTAAGGTTAACAATTTATGAGGATTTTTTTTCCAAGGTGCAAATGTTAGAGATATGTTTTTTATACTTTGATTTCAATATTTTTTGAAATGCTAATTAATGATGAACTTATTTGATTTTCTTTATTCAAACAGAATCAATATATATATATATATATATATATTTTTATATATATATTATTTAGTTTTTAATTTTTCAGGGAGTTGTTTTGGGTTTTCCATCCAATTTTATCTATTATTCTTATTTATTATTATATTATATTCGATGGGACACATTATTATTAAAATTTTTGAAAATGTCCATTTTTTTAGAAATTATATTTTTGAAAAAAATTTTTTTTAAAAGCATATTTCTGGCGTTTTTTACAATATATATTTATTATATTTTATGATTTTTATATAAACAATTATTTTATTCTTATTCCCGGATCAGGGTGATCCAAAAAAATTAAAAATATACTTAAAAAACAGAAAAATCTTTGGATGAAACATATTTATATATATATATCAGATATATTTATAATAATATAATTTATTTGAATTAATTTTTTTTTTTTTTTTTATAATTTTTTAAAAATACATTTATCTTGATATTTTTTTTCTTTTCCGAAGATATAATTTTCAATATAAAACGAAGGCAATTCCAATGTTTTATTTTTTCCAAGTGCAACGGTTCTGAATAACCTTTATTTATATTATTTAATCAAATCGGAAGAATTATATTTTTAGACTTGAAATGAAAAAAGAAACATGACTATATATATTATATTATATATATATATATATATATATATATATATATATATATATATATATATTATATATATATATATAAATATTATTTTCATATATATAAATTTTTTACATAAATGTTAAATATATATATATATAGGAAAAATATTTAGCCATTCTGTGAAAATATCATCTTTGTTAAAATTACAATACCCAAAGAAAATTTAATTTATTTAAAAAAAAAATAAAATCATATATATATATATATATATATATATATATATATATATATATATATATATATATATATAATTATTTGAATCATCAAAGTCTATAAAACAAATTTTCCTTTCAATCACCTTTGAAATATTTAAAGATTTCTTGGACATCTGTTAAAAAATTTAAATTTGGGACATGTTTTCTCCAAAAGTGCGCATCCACTACTGATGAATTGAAAATTGAAGATGTATTAAAAAATTTATTTATAACCAACTGTACTTTAAAAAGCAATATATAATTATTTTATATTTTTATAGGGAAAAAATCAAAATTTAAATAAATATGAATTTATTTAAAGATCGATATTTTTTCATTTAAAATAAAATTTAAAATATCAATATATATATATATATTTTATAATATAATATTTGTGAAATATTTTTTGTTTCCCATGAAATTATAAAAAACTTTGATTAATTATTTTTTTAAGATGCATTAAAATTAATTTTTTCAAGTAGAACCTTTATATAATTTTTAGAAAGAATTTTCCAATAAATTTGAAATAATTTTATAAATTTTTTAGTATATAAAAAAAGGAAATTTCCTTGAATACATTTAAAAATAATCTATATTTATATATTTAAATAAAATTTAATGACTAACTTTGACATGCAACTAATGGATATAATATATGTGTTATCAAAAATTCGAATAGATATATATTTATATGATAAATATATATATGATATATAATATATAAATATAAAGAAATATGAAAAAACTTTAATTTCGAATTAACAATTTAGATTCTTTTTACAATACCATAGATAGATAGATAAATGCGCATAATGAGAATTAAAGGTTAATAAGGTGAATAGATAGATAAATTGTACCAGAATAGATAGATAAATAAAAAATGAAAAGTCTATCGAAAATATTTATTATACAGTCTTTTCCTATTAAAGCCTCTGTACGAAAAAAATTCCACCCATATATCCAGAAAGAATCCATAAAATAGAAATTGTTAACAAACGTGAAAAAATTGCCCCTTAAATGAAAAACATTGAATGAAAAAAAACTGTTTCAGAGAAAGAGTTAATTTTAGATTGAATAGATAAAATAAAAAGTTTAAGAATTGAAATTTAAGATAGTTAATAGATAACAAATAAATAAAAAAATAGACATATGAATGGGGGGAAAAAAATCAACATTTCATTTTGGATCCTTCTCTTTTAGTCCACGAATTCCATAAATTTTCAATTCTACTCAAGAATATAAAGTTTAAAGAAGAGAACTTCAAAATAAACGACGGGCAATGGTGGTTTTAATTTTAACGAATAAAAGATCCAAAGAATAGATTTAAAAAAAAATTAAATTCATATATAAATTTTCTTTAATGGGATTTGAAGTTTAAACCTAAAATATAATCAGAAATGTTTTAAATGAATATTTTTATTTCTTTTTCTGTAAATCTATTTCCCTCTTTTGGAGATCTATTCTAATATGAAAAAGGGTAGGGGAACAGTCAGACTGTAAATCAGTTGGATTGGTGGATTTGTCCATCATTGAATGATGATTTTCAGTAAAGTTTTTAAAACTTTTTTAACTTTCGGTTTTTTTAATCCTCAGTATCCTGCTTAAGAATCCCTTTGAAATTTACTTCTAGTCTTCTTTTTTTGTTCAGATTGTCTAGTATTCACTGCTAAGTGGAGGACAGGTATTACCAAATATCAGAATTTATCTATTTATTTATTAAGGGTTAAAAAGTCATGTGTGTTGAACTGCAGGGTGAACGTTTGGAATTAAAATGGATGTCCAGCGTAAAAAAAGTTATTAATCTTTACTATCTGAGAATATTATATATATATATATATATATATATATATATATATATATATATATATATATTTATATATTAAAAAAATATTTTAAAAAAAAACGGCTAAATTAACGAAAAAGCGCAGAATGGGATAAAAAAAACGAAAATGTGGAGCAATTTCAGACATAAAAAATATTAGGAAAACAATTTTCATGCTACATTAGTTTCTACCAATCAGTTATATATAAATATATATATATATATATATATATATATATATATAATGAAACGGACAATATCCGACAATTATTTTATGACATTTTTAATGTTTATGCGTTCTTTTTATAGATACAAATATTTAAGTAAATGCTCTGTTTTATAATAAACAGTATTAGTGACATTTACTAAATTTTGAATGTAAAGAAATTTTCATAGAAAATATTCGTCCTCCGACAGGATCCGATTTATTATGTATCCTATACGGAAACGTCATTTAGCTTGACGTGCATAAAAACCGATTTGGCCACAGAGGAGCGTTTCGGTTAGTAATGTCGATTTTTCTGTTTTTAAACTACAATCTTTATATGATTCTCTCACGTACATTCATATTTGCTCAATGCATATCGAAATGTAAACAAATGACGTCACACATTATGAAATGGACAAAGTCCGACAATTATTTTAAGGCGGAGGACGCATATTTTCTATGAAAATTTCTCGAGCATTCAGGCCGGTAAATGTCATAAATACTGTTTATTATTTATTATAGCATTTAGTTAAATATTTTTATCTATAAAAAGAACGTATAAAAGCAAAAAATATCTTAATATATATATATATATATATATATATATATATATATAAAAATATAAATAAAAAAAGAACAGTAAGATATATAATCCGGTGTTCTTATAGATATTTTTTTAAAGTAAGTGCTCAATGTAAATTTACAAGCATTAATATTATAAATTAATTGATTTAAAATATTTTTTTTTCGCTACACAGTTAACCATGTTTCAAAAATGGAAGCTAAAAGCCCTGAATAAAGTATTTTTGATGAATTTAACATCCGTTCAAAGCGTGTCGTCTGGATTTTTTTTAAACAATATAATTTAAAAAAAAAGCAATATAATTTTTTAAAAAATCCAGACGACATGCTTTTAACGGATGTTAGATTTCATTGAAAAGTACATCCCTACCCACTACCAAAACGTAGCAATAACTGATACATTAAAATATGGACATATTGAACACCCAGACACCCCTGTCTAGAAAAATAGATTTATCTGTAACCTTGGAAACATGAATTTTGTTTTAGCTGTGTATTTAAAACCCAGTAATTTAAAAAGTTACTCCAAAATTTGCTTGAGGATGAAATGGAACTAATATCTTTAATTTAATCACAAAATTAAATTCGGGGCTTTATAAATTTTTTTTTTGAAACATGGTTAGAACTGTGTAGAAAAAAAAACATATTTTAAATCAATTAATTTATAATATATATATATATATATATATATATATATAAATATAACAAATCCGTATATATATAATCCAAGTGGATCCTAGTAATATAAGATATGAAAAGTGATCCACAAAAGATAAATTTTATTTATTAATACAGATAAATATAATTTATAAAAAAATAAAATCCAAAATCACCTCATATGGAGAATAGCCTATTTCGGCAGATGAAGTTATTGGTTGTCTGTCTTATCAACCCTGGTGTGGACAGAGTTTGTGCCTATACAGTTGGGGAGGCGGGAAATAGAATTTAACTGTGAAAGCTAAAGTTTTCACTCAGACGAAAGGCATGAGACAGCGGTTAAAGAAGAATGGAAGGCATTTCTCTTAAAGGGAAGAAATTTTATAAAATTAAACCCGTTTTTTTTTAAGCTTTTCACCCCAAGCAAGGCGGGAAGCCACTAGGACGCACGGGGTTACAGAAGATTTGGAGCAAGATCAGATAGGAGTGATAGAGGAAAGGATAAGGAGAAGAATAGTGGATAGATCAAGACAACAGGAGATGTCAATTGACATTACATTTGAATAGCTGGAGATTATAGCTCTCAGGGAAACTGAAATAGGGAAGGGAGTTCCACAGGCGAAAGGTGCGAGACATGAAGCTATTGGAGTAGAAGAGACGGCTACATTTAGGAGTTTCGACAGTGAAAGGGTGAGAGCGGGATGCCAGCCTCGTAGGTCGCTTGAACTCATGACGTCTGGGAACCAGCGAATGCAGCTCCTCGGAGCAATTACCATGAAACTATTTGTAAAAAAAGACAGAGAGAGGAGACGGCGCGTCTGTGAGAGAGCGACTGTAGACGAGATGCCAGAACAGGGCTAATTATATTGCATATCCGCCTTTGGAGCCTATCAAGAACCCCGAGGCAAACAGAAGGGGCTCCAGACCATATATGGCAGCAATACTCCATGCAAGGGCGAATTGTTGATTTGTAGATCTGGAGGATCGATTCCGGGGAGAAAAAATTTCCTGGCGCGGCACTGGGAGCCAACTTTCCTTGCGGTGGACGAAAAAAATTGACTCAATGTATTTATTCCATCTCAGGTCAGCAGTCAACGTGAGACCGAGCAGCCGCAGAGAGGTGCTCTCGAGAAGTTGAGCGTCAGACATAATTAATGGAGGGCAGAGAAGGATAGTGTGATTAATAGAAAAGTTTAGTTTTGTTTTTAAAGTCATTAACCTTATGACAAATTGCATTGTATCAAAATATTTTTATTTTCGAAAAGAGGTTATGGATATTTTGTAGGATAACATGAAAAGAAAACGAATGACGACATCCGTTCAACGCATGTCGTCTGAATTTTTATCAACAACAACAAATATTTCGACAATTTTGTTTTGCCGTCAAATTTATATTTGTATACATAAGGATTATAAATAAAAGGGTAAATTTAAAAAAACAAAAAAACTTTATTTTTAAATGAAATGGAATTTAATAATAAAAAATTAGGTTATATAAATTATTATTTAAAAATATATGAGAAACTATATATTATTAGGTTTATAAAAAATCATTTATTTACTTAATCAAAGAAATGAAATAGCTATTCTTTTTGAACTTTCATTATTTCTTAAAATTTTCTTTTAAATAATTTTTTTTTAAAAACCTGATACATAAAATGTACATATTTATATTTGATATTTAATAATAAATTTTAAATAATTTAAATAATTCTATTATTTTTTTATTTTTTTAAATGAAATATTCTAGTTTGAAAATAATTTAAAATAAATAAAAATTTTAAAATTGTTTCCAAAAATATGGGACGTATTCATATACAACCCTTGGTAGGGTCGATTATTTATATATATATATATATATATATATATATATATATATATATATATATATATATATATACTTAAATTGCTTAAACACTAATATTCCAAAAAAATAATTTATTCCATTGAATTTAAATACGATCCAATTCATCAAGACCAAAAATTCAAAAAATAAAAACGAAAAAAAACAACTTTTGAAATAAAAATAGAATTTAGAGAGAAAACAATAATTATATTTTTTGGGACGAATGTTAAAATATAAAGACAAAGTTTAACAGAAAATTTTATAATGGATAATTCAATATCCAAATTGGAATTTTTTTATAAAAATAAAATATTCATATATTTTGTATGCACGATATGTATATATATTCATATATTTTGCATAAATATTGTATATTTTCCTAAACATTTTTTTATTAATCTAACCATATCTATCTAAATTTATCTATCTATAAATAAAATATTTTATAAATATATATATATATATATATATATATATATATATATATATATATATATATATATATATATATAAATATATATATATATACGGAATGAATTTCAATAACCAACAATTACTATTCTTAAAAAGATGTTTTGCTCAATACAAATTATATATAATATAATTAATTATTTTTATAAAAAAATTATAACATAGGCATGTTTCAAAAAAATCACTAAAAAAATAGCCATTTTGTTTCAACACCCTGGTGTCTTATCAAGTGATGATGTTGAAAATAAAATAAATGGTTTTAAAAGTTTCAGATTAATTAACGATCCTACACTTAGGGGAAACATTGTTACAAAAGCTAGAATAACCAATCAAAAACCAAGTACAGAAAGATTCAAAAGCTTGACAACGAAATCATGTTATAATAGCTATTCAGCTCTTTTAAAATACGGGTAATATTAAAAAATAATTTATACTAACCAATAATTATAAAATTATATGATAAAATTTAATATTAAAATTAAAAACTGGCAATTTTAAAATCCAAATTTAATCACTATTAAGTTTAATTTTATAAAAAATTATAGAGAAAAAAAAAAATATATATGTTTATTCAATTTATTTCTCTATTGAAATTACGTTCGACAAGATATAAAAATATATCCGGTCATTTGACAATACATGTATATATTTTTTATTTAAAAATTAATGAAATAAAAATTAATTTTATAAACAAAATTTTTTTTAATTTTAATATTAAATTTTATCATATAAATAATAATCTTAATTTCAAAAGTAATGAATATGCTTATAAAAACTCATAAATTTAAATAGAATAAGTTTAAATAAAATTTAACGATGGAACAATTAATACTTTAATTCAATTTAAATTCAAAAAATCAATTGAAATTTTCGGCTTTTTTAAATGAAACAAATTTTGTTTCTCTTTTAGTACAAAATGGAATATTTTTAAATAAATAATTATATTTAGGAATCTACTTTTTGTATAAAGCACTATTTTCTTAAAAATTTGATAAAAAAATAAATAAACAAACTTTTGGATTAAAAATTAGTTCTTTGAATATTTTATATATTTTTTTTATTTTTTATTTATTTCATCACATATAAACATATATATAATAGGATATATATATATATATATATATATATATATATATATATATATATATGCAATTGTATGTGTTTATTTATATTATATATGATTAATTAAATTAAAAATGGCGATGTTGGTTTTATTTGAGTTTTAAAGAACATGAAAAACAATTTTTTTTTTTTTTTTTTAAAAATTTTATGTGTTACAGGTTAATGAAAAAAAAAAAAGCAATAAAGGGTTTATTTAAGATAATTTGAAACGAAGGTTTTTAAATAAAAAAAATATATATGGAAACTATTTCAGTCAATTTTAATGGAAATCTACATATCAAATGATTCAATATTAATAAAAATTTGATTTTCTTCAATTTAACTCCTGGGATCATTTTTCATTATAAAAATTTCTCTCTGTTGAAAATATATATATATATATATATATATATATATATATATATTTATGTTTGTGTGTGTGTGTTGTTTTTTATTTATTTCTATCTATCTCAAATCTATCTATCTGGAATATCTATCTATCTATCTATGTCAGTTTTTTTTCTTTCTTTTATCTCAGTTTTTTATTTTTATTTTTTTTTTTTTATTTATATTCTAAAAAATAGATCTATCTAGTCTACATTTCTATATTTTTCCATCTATCTATCCATTATCTAAATATCTATCTATCTATCTCAGAAATATTTTGTTTTTTTTAATGTATATCTATATATTTATCATCCATCAGTTTATGTTTTTATTTTTATCATCTATTTTTATCTATCTATCTATCTATTAATTAAATCTATCTATCTAATTTATGTAATTTCTTTCTTTCTTTCTTTTATTTATCAAATTTTCTTTTTTAAAATTTTCTTTCTTTCTTTAGATATATTTTATCTATTAATAACATCTAAAATCTGTCTCTTCTCCCTTTCCATCTATCTATCTATCTATCTATCTATTATCTATCTCATATTTATATTTGTTTATTTCTATCTATTTATATTTATAAATCCATCTCAGTCTATTCTCTTTAATTTTTCCATCTATCTATTATCTATATCTTATCTATCTATTAAAATCTAAATTTTTCAAAAATTTATATATATCTATCTATCTATTTATCTATTTATAATATATATTTTCTTCCAAACATGATCTATCTATCTATCTAGAATCTATCTATCTGTATCTATCTATCTATCTATATAGTCTCTAAAATCTAGAAATCTTAAAATCTATATCTATCTATCTATCTATCTATCTATCTATCTATGTCAGAATTTTTTTCTTTCTTTTTATCTCATTTTTTTTTTTTCTATCTATCTATCTATCTATCTATCTATCTATCTATCTATCTATTCTGAATATCTATCTCAGTCTCTTCTTTTTTTTAAAATCTATCTATCTATCTTATCTCAGGTTTTTTTGTTTGTTTGTTTGTTTGTTTATTTTTTTTTTTCTATCATTTAATCTATCTTTTTTTTTTTGTTTGTTTATGTGTTTCTATCTTTTATCTATCTATTATCTCCGTCTTCTGTTTTTTGATTAAAATTTGTTCAAATTTTTGTCCTTTCCATCCTCAGTCTTCTCATTCTCTTTCACTTTCACCTCCCGTAACTCCTTGCGTCTTAGTGGCATTGGTGCCTTTATTTATGAAAAATTAAAAATTCCGTTATCTATCTTAGTCTGTTCGTATCTATCTATCTATCTATCTATCTATCTATCTGGGTGCTTCTATCTATCTATCTATCTATCTATCTATCTATCTATCTATCTATCACAATCTATTCATATATGAGAAAGTCTGTCACTATCTATCTATCTTTCTATCTCAACATTTTCTTATCTATTTATTCTCTCTCTCCATTTCTCTTAATATCTCCTTCTCCCTCTTTCTATACACACAAACACATACATTTTCTTTTATCACCAGACACTTACCAGCGCGTGAAGAGGCACAACTTAGTGCTGAAACATGAAAGCAATTGTGTAGCGATTTCAACATGCTTTTGCTCTAATCACTTATAATAATAATAATAATAAATATATAAAATATATATAAAATTATACAAAATTATATATATATATGTATATAATTTTGTATATCAACAAACAGTATTTATAAAAAATAAAATTCTTTAAAAAAATATTCTTTCAAAAGATTTTTGAAACTTCCTCTCGAAAGCCCAGTCCGATGAAATTCTAACGGATGAAACGCGTCACGAAAAAACCTTTCCAGTTTGTCATATATATATATATATATATATATATAACACAAAATATGTTAAATGACCGGAAAAATTACCGTTTTGAAAAAAAAACAAAAAACGAACGTATAAAAAAGTGCTCAATGAAGTTTTGCAGAGCAAGCTAATACAATAAAAAGAGGTAAAACACCATGTACAATACCGTTAAATTCTCATCAGGAATTTGACATTATAAACTGCTCAAATATATTTTTATTCTTTTCTCTCTCTCTAATCTATATATAATATAGTCTTATATATATATATATATATATATATATATATATATATATATAATATATATCTTCAAACAGGAATGGTTAAATAATTTAGACATAACATATTCGGTTTATTTTGACGTTGTGATTCCTTGAAGTTCACGGATTAATTTCGGTATTTTTCTTAATTAATATTCTAAGGCTACCAAGAATTTTAGAGGACCTAAATAAAAATAGAGAGAGAGAGAGGAGGATAAAGAGGTGAGGGAAGGGGACAGAGAGAAAGTAGTGATTGAGAGATATAATGACATAAACAGAGAAATAAAGTATGAGAGAGATCTAAATTTTATAAAAGATGTAAAGAATTGCAAATTTCTTGTTATTGTTGCGTCATTTTTATATATATATATATATATATATATATATATATATATATATATATATATATATAGTGCTGTTCGATAAAAGTGACTCACCTGATTTTTTTTACTAAAATATTTTTTTCTATTGTTTTTTGGGGTTAAAATAATTTTTAATCTTACTAATATAAAAGACCCCTTCCTGACCACCTAGGAAAAAAAGTTTATTCACCTTAAGGTATTCTATTGATAATTATAAATTTGGATATAAATGAGATTCAGGAAAAAAACTCAAAAAAAAAAAAAAGTGACTCAGATATCGCATTCTAATGATTAAACTGGTAAATTTTCATTGCTTTTTTTGACAAAATATTGAAAACTATTTTACAATACACTCAGAATAATATTCTAGAGAATTCTAGAACAGCTTAAATTTAATCTAAAGTATTCCAGAATATTCCAAAAAGCCTTATACAGTATAAAAACAGCTTGAAATAGCCACTCAAGTCACTAACCAGATGAAAGGGTACAAACACGCATCAGAACGACTTAAGGCATCTATTATTGCCCTCTCAAAAGCAGGCAAGTCTACGAGAGAAATTGCAGAAATTGCTATAATCTCGCATTCAACTGTCTTCTCGAGTGCTTAGGGCACATAATGATGTCACTCCTGCTCCAAGAAAGGAAACAAGGGGAGGAAAGAAAAAGATTGATGATAGAACTGGCAGGGTAATCAAGAGAGAAGTTGCGAAGAATAGGACTATAACTAGCCAAGAAATTTCAGCCAGTCTAAGCGAAGAGCAAGGTGTTAGTCTTGCCTCTTCAACAGTCCGTCGGTGGCTGTTAGAACAAAGGCTACAAATCTTGTACTACAAAGGAACAAGGATAAAAGTAAGCCAACAAATTTTGAGACTTGAATTGACTCACTATTAAAAAATAGGATTTCGAATTTGTTCTAAAAATCCGTAATCCCCAAATTAATTTCCTTTTTATATTCCAAAATTCCATTCTGATAAGCGTGTAGAAATGGTTTGCAGGGTTCGATTTCGGTTAGGGATGCGCATTTATTGATGAGTTTGTTGAGAATAATGAAATGATTTCATTAGATGTTCTTTGAAAAAAATTGGTTGTTTTAAAAAGGATTCTTTTTTAAACCTAAATAAAAAAATGAATTGCTTATATATATCTCATTCTATATCTAAGAGACAATACGCGTTCTTTTACCGACACACAGTGGGGTTAAGAATAAAACTGAAAAAATCAACAATTTAGTAAACTCAAATCTTATCATCCGATCCTTGTGTTCATTTTAATTTTAGTAACATATTTTTGATGCTTTTAATATCCGTCAAAAAATCGTGAAAGTTTTTATTTTGGGATTAATATTTTGTTTATTTCATCTTGGATGAATTTAGGTCAAAATTTATTTTGTATTTTTGTTTTTGTTTTGATTAAAAAAAAATGGGAAGCAAAAAAAAAGCTTCCCAATTTAAAGTGTCAAATATTCATTTTTTTCTTTCGAAAAAAATGAAAAACGGAAAACTCCAAAATACACTATAAAAAATAAAAAATAAAAAAAATTTTTTTTTTTTTTTTTTACTATATTTGCTTAAAAATTTTTCCAAAAAAAGAAAATATACAAATAAATTGACCTAAATTCATCCAAGTAAATAAATAGACAAACCAATCCAAAAAAAAAAAAAATATTCAGGAAATAAAAAAAAAAAATAATAGTTAATTTAAAGAATAACCAACCCCAAAATTGAACAAATAGCTTTAATTAAATTCTCAAACCAAAACAAAACTGTTAAATACGTGATATAAACAAATTTTTACTACGTTACGTAAATAAATAAATAAAAAATAAAAAATAAAAAAAAAAAAAAAAAAAAAAGCAAATAAATTTGACAAAAAAATAAATAAACAAACGACTTCCGGTAAAAATAAATGCCATAATAGAATACCCACAATGCACCAATTGGTATGTATATATATAAATAGCCGAGAAAAATAACAGCATATGTGGCCTGACGATTGCATATAGCATGAAACAGACTGTCGCCTCTAAGTGTTGACTTCTATGTTCACTTTTATATATATATATATATATATATATATATATATATATATATATAATGGCAAGATGTTTGTCGTATATTATATATATTGGGTCAAAAATATATACATCAGGAACCGACAGCCAAATTAAGCACATATGAAAAATGGTCAGATTGCGGAACCAATATCAATTTTGTGAAGGAAAAAATACAAACCTGGTGCATTTTGTAACAAAAATCCCAAAAAACCCTCCCAAAGGTTTTGAATTTAGAGTCATCTTTATCTCTTAGTCTAATCTTAGTTGCCATCAATCTATTAGAACCCTTTCTGTTCTAATATTTACCCATAGCTTGGAGGGAGAATTTAAAGCCAGAAAAGGATTTTGAAAATTGTATTAATATATCCGGAATAATAATATTTGGATAAAAATCAGTAAAATTGAAGAATGGGAATTCAAGCCACTATCCAAAAACTCCACACTTCCCCAAATAAAGGAATATGTCTGTCTGTCTGTAATTGTCTCTCTCTATTATATATATATATATATATGAAAATATATAGAAAATAGAAAAAAGGAACTGGTTAGGTAAATAATGAAAAATCTCTTAGAATTTTAGTTAAAATTTTTTAAAAATAGTGCGTGATACAAAAGTAAGTATAAATGATAATTATTTATTTAAAAAAATATGATTAACATATATAATAATATAATTAGAAAAAAATAATTATAAATTATAAAAATTATAATATAATTATTTAAAAAATGATTTATTATATTATGAACGTTTAGAGTTGGAATCATATTTTTAAATAAATATATATATATATATATATATATATATATATATAAAAAAATTTTGTTTTTACCCACCATTTATTGAAAATTTTTTGAATAAGATTTTTATCCCAGAACCTCAATATCAGATTAATTAATTTGTTAAACCTATAAATTAATATATTTGAAATTTGATTTTTGCCACTTTTTAATAGATGTTTCTTTCTAGAAAACATGGAGCATGAACTTATTTGGTTTTTTATCTCACTCTTTCATTTTTAGAAAGGATACAAGCGGCCTTTGTTTATATAATACACCACGTAGTAGGTATAAAAAATGTTTTTTTTTTAGCTTTCTCGTTATATAAAGTTAGGACTGAAAGTTATGGAGCACTAACTGAGGATCGAACTCTTACTTTGGCAGTTTTGTCATTAATCAAGTTTGTTAACCATGACAGATTATCTGATAATATTATTTTTATTTTTTTTAATTTTTTTTAGCGTTTACACATATAAGGCCGAAAGTCAATGGTGTTTTTAATGAGGATCGAGACTAACTATTTAATTTGAAAAATCTGATTGGAGAATTTTATTTAATGATTAAATTTACCAAATTTTTTTTTAATATAACGTTATTTCATATTTACAATATTTATTTTGAAAAAATTTAATCAATCATCACCATTATAAATACCTTAAGATTGCACTGAACATGAAATTGGGAGTTTTTTGAGACATAATGCAAATATTTACATTTAGTTATATACACTTTATAGCTCTGTAAGAACCAGATTGAGCACTGTTCTGTTAAATTCAAAAATTAAACAAAATATCGATTTTTTTTCGGCATTTTTATTTTTGATACTGATCACAGGCATATATGGTATTTTTATTCATTTTTGTTTTTGATATATATATATATATATATATATATATATATATATATATATATCTTATATATATATTTTTTTATTTGTTTCAGTATTATTTTTAAAATGAATCATCCATGCAAATTTTAATTAAAATTTTAATGATATAAAACAACGTAGAAAAATTTTTTTCTTTCAAATAAAATTTAAAAGTTACATTAATCTTACTAATTTATTCGATTATTATGATTTTGTAGAATTTTTTTTAGAAATTTATCTAAATATAAGAAAGAGAGCGGAACGTTTTAATAATCAATGAGTAATTTTCAACTGTACGTTCAGTCATCCTGAGGCATATTTTTTTTTTTTTTTTGCAAAAATTCAGGTTTCATCAGAGACGAAAATTTAAATGTGAATCGAAAAATCGGAAAACGGTCTGTTATAAAATGCCCAAGTGTTTGGAAAGTTTCGTTTATATAAAAAATTTTTTTTGTAAACAGAAGATCGTTGCTGGGAGTTTGTCGTCATTTTCATTTAAGATAGTTGATTTCTCATTTTAAGAAAAGATTTCATTTTAAACTTTTTTATTTTTTCAGATTTATTTTGTCATAGAGGTTTTCTCTGGTTTTTTTTTTCCACAAATGGATTTTGTTTTTCCATTTCGCAAGTTTTTTTTTTTTTTTTTCTTTTTTCTTCTTTTTCTTTGTTTTTCTTTCTTTCTTTCTTTTCCTTAAATTTGTTGCCCGGAAAAAATTTCTTCTTTTGTAATTTTTAAAAAAAATGGCTCCTTAATTTCTCATTTCTCCTTGGATTTCTTTTTTTTTTCCTTTCTCTTTTTTTGATTTTTTCCCCTTTCTTTTCTTTTTGTTCTTCCTTCTACTATTTTTATTGACAAATTTTTTTTTTATTTCTCTTTTTTTTTTTTCCATTTTTTTCTTTTTTTTGTTCCTCCTCTAAAAAATCTTTTTCTTTTTCCTCTTTCTATTTTTTCATTTTTTTTTTTCCTTTTTTTCTTCCTTTCTATATTTTATTTCCTTCTTTTTTCTATTTCCTTTCTTCTTTCTTTTTTCTTTCTTTTTTTTACATCCATTTTTTCTCTTTTCCTTCTTGTTCTTTTCTTTATATAACTTTTTTTTATTTACTAAAATTTTCTTTCTTTCTAAAATTTCTCTCTTTCTTTTTTTCTTTCTTTTTTCTTTCCTTCCTTCCTTCCTTCCTTCCTTTCTTCTTTTTTTTCCTTTTTCCTTTCTTTCTTTCTTTCTTTTTTTTTTCTTTCTTTATTTTCCTTATTTCCTTTTTTTTTCCTTTTTCCTTCCTTCCTTCCTTCCTTTTTCCTTCCTTCTTTTTTTTTTCTTTCTTTCCTTCCTTCCTTCCTTCTTTTTTCCTTCCTTTTTTTCCTTTCCTTTCTTCCTTTCTTTTAAATAATTTCCCTTTCTTTTTTCTTTCCTTTTTTCCTTCCTTCCTTCTTTCCTTCTTTCTTTTTTCTTCCTTCCTTCCTTCCTTTTTTTTCTTTCCTTTCCTTTCCTTCTTTCTTTTTTTCTTTCTTTCTTCCTTTTTTTCCTTCTTTTCTTTTTTTCTTCCTTCCTTTTCTTTCTTTTCCTTTTTTCCTTCCTTTTCTTTCTTTCTTTCTTTCTTTTTCTTCTTTCTTTTTTCCTTTTTTTTTCTTTCATTCCTTTCTTTCTTTCTTTCTTCCTTTTCAAGAATGTTTTCCTTCCTTTCTTCCTTCCTTCTTTCTTTCCTTCTTTCCTTTCCTTCCTTCCTTTTTTCCTTTTTTTTTTTTCCTTCTTTCCTTCCTTCTTTCCTTCCTTCTTTCTTCCTTCCTTTCTTCCTTCATTTCCTTTCCTTCTTTCTTTCCTTCCTTCCTTTCCTTTTTCTTTTTTTTTTTTCTTTCTTCCTTTCTTTCTTCCTTTCTTTTTTTTTTCTTTTTTTTCTTTCTTTTTTTTTCCTTCCTTCCTTCCTTTCCTTCCTTCTTTCCTTCCTTTCTTCCTTCCTTCTTTTTCCTTCCTTTCCTTCCTTCCTTTCCTTTTCCTTTCCTTCTTTCTTCCTTCCTTTCTTTCTTTTTTTTCTTTCCATTCCTTTTTCCTTTCTTTCCTTCCTTCTTTTTTCTTTTTCCTTTCTTTTTGTAATTTTCCTTCCTTCCTTCCTTCCTTTTCTTTCTTTCCTTCCTTCCTTCCTTCATTCCTTCCTTCCTTCCTTTCTTTTTCTTTTCATTTTTTTCTTTCCTTCCTTTCTTTCCTTTTTCCTTCCTTCCTTTCCTTTTTTCTTTCTTCCTTCCTTCTTTCCTTTTCTTCCTTTTCCTTTTTTTCCTTTCTTTCCTTCCTTCCTTCCTTTTTTTCCTTCCTTCCTTCATTCCTTCCTTCCTTCCTTTCCTTCCATCCTTCTTTCCTTTTTTCCTTCCTTCCTTCCTTCCTTTCCTTCCTTCCTTCCTTCCTTCCTTCCTTTCCTTCCTTCCTTCCTTCCCCCATTCTTTCTTTCCTTCCTTCCTTCCCTTCCTTCCTTCCTCCTTTCCTTCCTTCTTTCTTTCCTTCCTTCCTTCCTTCCTTCTTTTCTTTTCCTTCCTTCCTTTTTTCTTTCCCTTCCATCCTTCCATCCTTTCTTTTTTCCTTCCTTCCTTCCACCATTCCTTCCTTCTTTCCTTCCTTCCTTCCTTGCTTTCCTTCCTTCATTCCTTCCTTCCTTCCATTTCTTCCTTCCTTCCTTCCTTCCTTCCTTCTTTCCTTCCTTCTTCTTTTCCTTCCTTCCTTCCTTCCTTCCTTCCTTCCTTCCTTCCTTCCTTCCTTCCTTCCTTCCTTCCTTCATCCATTCCTTCCTTCTTCCTTCCTTCCTTCCTTCCTTCCTTCCTTCCTTCCTTCCTTCCTTCCTTCCTTCCTTCCTGCATTCCATCCTTCCATCCTTCCTCCCTTCCTTCCTTCCACTATTCCATCCTTCCTTCCTGCACTCCATCCTTCCTTCCTTCCTTCCTTCCTTCCTCCATTTCTTCCTTCCTTCCTTCCTCCATTCCTTCCTTCCTTCCTTCCTTCCTTCCTTCCTTCCTCCATTCCATCCTTCCTTCCTTCCTCCATTCCTTCCTTCCTTCCTTCCTTCCTCCATTCCATCCTTCCTTCCTTCCTCCCTTCCTTCCTTCCTCCATTCCTTCCTTCCTTCCTTCCTTCCTTCCTTCCTTCCTTCCTTCTTCTGCGTTCTTAATTTTTCCCGCTTCAAAATATCTGTTTTCTCTTTTTGATACATTATTTCTTTCTTTTTCCTTTGCTCCGTCGTTCGTCCATTCCTTCCTCTACGTTCTTTTTCGTGTTCCTATACTTTAAAAATTTCTCTCTCTTTTTTTTTATATATATATATATATATATATATATATATATATATATATATGATCAAAATACAGTTCTAATGTATGTTATAAATGGCTTGAAGATCGCATTCACGCATGAAACATACTGTTGCCACTTGACTCCTAGGGTACTTGGATAAGTATATTTCATTTTGATCAAAGGGGGTCGCAGTGAAATTCTTTTTCCCATTGATTTAAATTAAATTTTTATTTGAACAAGTGAATTACTCCTATCCAAAATATAGAAGGAGAAACCCAGAAGATGGAGGTCACGTCGGCAAGAACATTTTACCAAAGCGGGTCCACGGGGGCATACCCCCCCCCACTATTTTTTTTAAATTAAATTTAAATTTGAACGATGGAACTACTCTTAGGGTACTTGGATAAATATATTTCATTTTGATCAAAGTGGGTCCCCGGGGTTTGGGGGAGGCCCCCTCGACTGAACATTTTTCCCTTTGATTTAAATTAAATTTGAACAAGGGAATGGCTCCTATCCAAAATATAGAAGGAGAAAGCCAGAAGATGGTGGTCACATCCGCAAAATCAAAATGAGACAACATGGACATCAAGTTGAGCAAGAATTCACCAAACAGTGGTTAGTGTGTTACAATATATAATTATTGCGACAATTCAACTGTCATATAAATGTTGAAATCTGCACATCAAATCACTCAATCAAGTGTTGCCTCAAATACATATCAAGCTGCTTTGCATAAACTACCCAATGAATTTTTTCCCTTTGATTTAAATTAAATTTAAGTTTGAAGAAGGGAATGCATCTATCCAAAATATAGATGGAGAAAGTCAGAAGATGGAGGTCACATCCGCAAGATCATTGAATAATAATGAAATTCATTATTTATCTCCGCAATTTATAACAATTATTTAATATCAATCATCATTTTCTAACAAAAATGTGTGACAAGCAGCAAGGCACGAGTAATTTGGCTAAAAAAAGAAGGAAAAAGCCAGAAGATGGAGGTCATATACGCAAAATCATTGGATATTAATGAAATGCATTATTTATCTCCGCAATTTATAACAACGATTTAATATCAATCATCATTTTCTTACAATAAAAAATGTGACAAGCAGCAAGGTACGGGTAATTCGGCTAAAAAAAGAAGAAAGCCAGAAGATGGAGGTCACATCCGCAAGATCATTGAAGGCGCGGATATTTCGGCTAAAAAAACAAAAACAAAAAAAGCAATTAAAATAACGTTTCATTCCATCAAATCAATTATTGTTACCAGTTGTAAATATGTTGTAAAAGTTATAATGAATATTTCTAATAAAATGAGATATGTTGATATTCACATCGTATATTTATTATATAAATCCATCTTGAAAAAAAAAATCGACTTGCTTAATAAAAACTGACACAGTGTACAAACCAGTTTGTTTCTTTTTTTTTTATCTGTCTTATTTCGCCGCTTTCCTTCCTAAACCCCTCATTCTCTATACGACTATTAATTTTCCTCCTTTTGTGCGTCACGGAAATTCGCGTGGAAAGGAAATTCAATATGGCATCCAAATTCAATTGACCGAATTCTCGTAATATCTCGCGAGAATAACGAGCGAATTCTCGCAAAAGCGAATAAAAACGCACAAGGAATATTGATAAACAATTTTATTTCATGCGAAAAGGGAAAAAAAAAAGAGCGAGATGTAGATATGAAATGTTGCAAAGCCGTAACGTAAAACGAAGACGAAAGGCTTGAATGACCTCAGAAATTTAGAACTTAGAAATTTGGAAATCTTATCTTTCGAAGCGAGTGATAATATTTTTTTTTTCTTCAAAATGTCGCCAATCGGCTACAGGAAACGGAATACTGATAAGAAAATAGAATTTTTTTTTTTTAATGCTCCAAGGAACTAGCAAGACATACTTTTTAGATACTTTTCAGAAGTTGCTCAAAAGATTGGTTCCGTTCGGTGTCTTGCTTTTGTAGTTACTACTGTAATGACAAAACTACTCAGGAGTAGGCTTTAAGAAAGTTTTATTCAATCGAGTAAAGAAGGTTCGCGTATAGTGTCTTTTATAGTCCCAGTAAACAGAAACATCTCTCTCAAAGAGGAGAGTAAGAAAACAAGGGGAAACCACATTTGATTATTCATAACAACTACTATCTTTTTGTTGGTGTGTGTGTGTTTTTTTTTTTTTTTTTTTCAGAATTTTTATTGGCGGGAGGGTGGGTTACTAAAGTGAAAAAAACACCTTCCTTTTTCATACAAATTTTAAACCGACCCCCCACCCCAGTAAATTAGATGACTCGAAACGTCTAATTAATTATTTTTTTTTACAGCTTATCAACCGTTTTCAGGTTATTTAAAGTCAGAAAATATTTTTAAATTCTAAAAATTGGGGGAGGTGGTGATAATAATGCTTTAGTGTTATTAGTGTAACAACATAAAGTGTGTAGGTGTAGGCTTTGAGAACGCTTTATTCAGCCGAGAATACAAGGTTCCCGTATAGTGTCCTTTTATAGTCCCAGTAAACTGAAATAGCTCTCTCAAAGAGGAGAGTAAGAAAAGAAGGGGAGATCACACTTGATTATTCATAACAATTACTATCTTTTTCTTAGGGTATGCGAGTTTTTTTTTGGGGGGTGTACTAAAAAGAAAAAATGTTTTCCCATACAAATTGCAAACAGAACTCCCCAGTAAATTAAATAAGCCGAAATAATTGATAGTTTGATTAATTCGTTTTTTACGGCTTATCAACCTTTTGCAGGTTATTTAAAGTCAGAAAATATTTTTAGAGTCTAAGAATTGGGGGAGGGGGAGATAATAATGGTTTAGTGATATAAGTGTAACGTCAAAAGTACGCAGGTGTCGGCTTTAAGAAAGCTTTATTCAATTGAGAATACAAGGTTCGCGTTTAGTGTCCTTTTATAGTCCCAGTAAACAGAAATAGCTCTCTCAAAGAGGAGAGTAAGAAAACAAGGGGAGAACACAGTTTATTATTCATAACAACTACTATTTTTTTTGTTGGTGTGTGCGTGTTATTTTATTTTATTTTATTTTTTGTAGGGGGGGTGAACTAAAGAAAAAAAAACACCTCCATTTTTCATATAAATTTTAAGCCGAAAAAAAAAGGTAAATTTTATAGTCCCAGTAAACAGAAATAGCTCACCCAAGGAGGAGAGTAACAAAATAAGTGGAGACCAAACTTGATTATTCGTAACAGTATATTACTAATTAACCCATAGCTGGGGGTGTGGGAGAATAGATCGATTCATACCTGATAAATAAACAAGAAATTATAATATGGATATAAAGTGGAGGACCAATCCAATGTTACAATCAATATACAAACGGATCCCTCACTTTGTGACCACAGTAGTTTCTATACATTTCTATTTCGGAGAATGTATATAAATCTAAAAGACATGTATTTAATCAGCTGATTCGTTTTTTACGGTTTGTCAACCCTATTCAGGTTATTTAAAGTCAGAAAATATTTTTAGATTGGAAGAATTGGTGGGAGGGGGAGAGAATAATGGTTTATTGATATGTCTTATTAATAGCTTGGACGGAGGGAAGAGAAGATTTAGATTCATACCTAATCAGAATTTGATAGACAAGAGAAATTATAGTGGATATAAAGTAGATGATCAATCCTATATTACAATAAATATACAAACTGATCCTTCACTTTGTGACCACACTAGTTTCTACACAGTTATATCCCAGAGATCACATGTGGATCCAACGGTTGTGAAAGCAGTGACAGCAAGTGTTGTGGAGCGCCCTAGGGCATGGACGTGTCGCCTAAAGAAGTCCTGGTCATCCACTGCAGCCTGGTAGTCTCCCGTCGTAACGGCTCCCCGTGCCACTGGATCAAGACTTCCCAGGCCGAGAGAATGAGATTGCCGCCGTGCAGCGATCTTCTCCCTACAAAATCCTCACGCACAGGTCCGTTGTGCAACTCATTATTCACCACTCGTTATCAACTCGTCACTGATCTGTCATCTCACATCCCTCAAGTCCGGCGGCGATGGGCACGTGGCGAAGCAACCGGTGGAGGTGACCACTGGCGGTTGTAGTCACAGTCCTGCACGTAGGCGATCCATGGGCAAGAGGTCGTTCCTTTCCTGACTCCAAGACTTGCTCCGGCAATTAGTTGGAGATTCGTCTCCAGTTGTGTTGGTCGAACTCTCAGAGACGAACCCAGACGAGGCTATGCCGAAGGGTATAGCCTCCTCTGGGGTGCTAGACAGCTCTCCGACCCCGTGTATACGGGGCCTACGGGGAATTTTTGCCCGAGACCACGGGCTCGGTTTTGACCTCGCATTTAAAAACGGCTTTGTGCCACATCCTGCCACGCAAGGTGGGGGGTTAAGGTAAATATCCTTTACTGAATCAAAGGGCAACAGGAGGGGCCGGCAGCACCCGTGGGCAACTGGACAACACTGTCCACCCTCACATGGGGGAGGGGATTAGAAAAGGCGCCCCAAACAAATGCTTGTTTTTGGGTTTTTTTTTTTTTTAAAGTCTGGCCAGCTTATCGCTGTTGATAGACTCATCCTCACTGCGGTCGAACTATGCAAAAGAAAAATCACAAGAGGCTGATTTTGGGAGTCTAGAACGTTCAAACAGTACTGGATAGAGCCAGTACGTCGAGAATGAGAAGGACAGCGCTTGGCGCGAAAGAACTCCAGCGATACCGAATAGAGATTACTGCACTCAGCGAAACCCGGCTTGCCGGTTGAAGGTTCTCTAAGAAAAGGAGGAGGTGGATACACCTTCTTCTGGAAAGGAAAATCTCAAATTTGAAACAGGATTCACGACGTAGGGTATGCGATCAGAGCAGCTCTGATTAAAAGCATACCAGTTCTCCTAGTTGGAATCA